AGGACACTGGATGCCAGGCCCCCAAGGGCAGGACCACTGATAGTTAGAAACCAAATGGGATGAGTTCTATCATGGCTCTGCTTGCAGCCTTCAGAGCATTTCCGGGCCACAGTTCAGAGAGGGGAACCTAGGCAGAACCCCAGAGACTCCCTGAAGTGAGCAAGTAAAGCTATGAGGTTGGGGGGCAAGGCATCTATGCAGAGAACAGGGGACGGGAGGGGGCACAGAGAACTCCAGAGATCTGCAGACACTCCCCCTTGAGTACTCCCCTGTGCACTGATGATCAGTGAGCGGGGGTTGGAGAGGGACTATCTGAAGCTAGAGAGATAACCACTTGAAAGGATTAGAAATAACAATGCCCAGTATTCACCAGGGCTCAGGAACAGTGCCTGTTTCCATCAGCCAGATTGGGAAAAACCCAAGACTCACAGAGCACTGGGTAGCATGTTCAGAAAGGTCTTGTCTCAAGCGGGGCACTTGGGTGGCTCAGTCCATTAAGCGTCTGCCTTAAGCTCAGGTCATGATCCCAGAGTCCTAGGATTAAGTCTCACCAAGTCCAGCTTCCGGCTCCCTTCACCCTCTGCCCATCCCCCTTGCTCATGCTCTCTCTCTCTCTCTCTAATAAATAAATAAAATCTAAAGGAAGGAAGGTCGGTCTTCTCTCAGCAACAGGAAATAACAGTTCCTAGACTTAGAAGTGTTCCAGTCCTAACAGCTCTTTAAAGCGAGCCCTGAGAATATCCATTTCTAAGTAATTTTGCTGCATCCCAAATAAAGCTTGAGAAAATTTCTAGTAAAATATCAAACATCTAGGTAAAAGTCACAGTGTCTGGTATCCAATCAAAGAATACCCAGCACTCAAGGAGCATGAAGATACAATGCATAATGAGAATAATCAGTCAATCCAAAGCAACCCAGAACTGACACAGGTGTTAAAAATCACTGGGAGGTGGGGCGCCTGGGTGGCTCAGTGGGTTAAAGCCTCTGCCTTAGGCTCAGGTCATAGTGTCAGGATCCCGGAATCGAGCCCCGCATAGGCTCTCTGCTCAGCGGGGAACCTGCTTCCTCCTCTCTCTCTGACTGTCACTCTGACTACTTATAATCTCTATCAAATAAATAAAATCTTTTTAAAAAATCACTGGCAGGATTATTTTAACTGTTAGTTATAAATAGAGGCTCAAAACTTAAGTGGAGATATTGAAGCTGTAAAAAGACACAAATCAAACAGCTAGATATAAAAACTACCATGTGTGAGATAAACAAAAGACAATGACTGATGGGATTAACACTATGTTAAACATGTCAGAAGGAAGAGACAGATGAACTTAAAGACATGACAATTTAAAAAAAAAAAATTGCCAGAATGAAACACAGAGAGAAGAGAGAGTATGAAAACATAGAACACAGTGGGCTCACGGCACTTCCACAAGGGAGAGGTGTGGTGTGGGAGAAACAAAAATATTTAAAGAAATAGTGGCCTGGGGCGCCTGGGTGACTCAGTGGGTTAAAGCCTCTGCCTTCGGCTCGGGTCATGATCCCGGGGTCCTGGGATAGAGCCCTGAGTCAGGCTCTCTGCTCAGCGGCGAGCCTGCTTCCTCCTCTCTCTCTGCCTGCTTCTCTGCCTATCTGTGATCTCTATCTGTCAAATAAATAAATAAATCTTAAAAAAGAAAGAAAGAAAGAAAAGAAATAATGGCCCAACATTTTTCCAAATTTAATAAAAACGATGGCCTCGGAGATCCTGGCAGCTCAATGAACGCGAAACAAATGAAACTGGACCAAGCACAACCTCAGGAAATGGCTCCAAACCAATGACAATGTGAAGGGAAGGGTGACAGTAGATGCCTCATCAGAAACAAGGCAAGAGCCGATCTCAGCTGAGGTCGACAGGATGACGCCATGCCTTCTAGCTTCAGCTCCCATAGGGTCACCCATGTCCTGCTCCCCGTCTATCGTGTGCTGTATCGTTCCATTTTTGTGCGCGCTTTTTTTTTTTTTCTGCTGATTTTGCTGTTTAAAACGATCCCCAAGATATTTCTTAGGGGCTTTCTCGGGTCGCAGAGAAAAGACATGTTAGGTGAGCTTCGTGCAGGCACGAAAGACCCTTCTGTGGGCCCTGAGTTCAAAGATAGTGAATCAACAGAGTGTGTTAAATGAGGTGTCTTTAGTCAGAAACCAACAGAAAATAAAGTCACATATTGACCCCCTGATGACAAAGTTGTGCGGCGAGACTCCTGTGAATCTCCTTCTGCATTTCCCTGAGGACCGGTTGTTAGGTATTTGCTAGCTCAGTGCTCATGGCTACTTAATAGAACATAAAAAACAAAAAAAAAGGAAGAAAAAAGAAAGCCACGTTATTTTTAGCAACTGGGTTTGGGGTGGTTGGTTAGGCAGCAATAGGGAACTGAAACCCTTATTGAAACTCTTGTCCCATGTTGGTCTGGCCAAGTGTCTCCGATGGGGTTCTCCGGAAGCAGGAACTGTAGCCGAGGGTCTGTGTGGAGGAGGGCTCTCGGGAGATACGCGGGGAAGGGAGCAAGGGAGGCAGAACTGGGCAATGGGCGAAGCTGAGCTACAGTGCATTTGCAACTGAGTCTCAACTGATCCTCCAAGCAGCCCCGACAAGTTGGCCCCAAAGGCAAGAAGGCCAAGCACCTGCCCTGGGCTGCACCTGTACAAAGCTGGGATCCTGAGTGTGTCCATTCCCACGGCCAAGTGCAGCTTTTGTGAGGGCTGAAGCTGAGGCGGTATTTTCCAGAGCTGGGAGAATGACGTAATTTCTCTGCAATAAGGGTGGGGGGGTGGCAACACCACCTGTCCCCCAGGGGTACCACTTCTGGTTGGCTGCTGAGTCCTTCTGACATAATCCTGGCCATTTGGATGACTTCCTTGCTATCTGGTTCAACACGACATTACCGTCTCCTCGGACACATTCCCTGCCCCACACCTGGACATTTTGCAGACCGCTTTCCCAAGAGGCACTGATTTCTTTGGGATCCCCCACGGTCTTGTATTTCAAGACCGTGATCTGGGCCCTAGGAATGGTCATTGCTAGATGTAGCTTTCTTCTTATGACCAGAAACCCCCAGCGCTATTTGTTTCTTTTTAAAGTCTAATATTTTCAGGAGAACTCATTGCTTGCCCTCAACCTCCTCCTTTGCCCATGTCATCTATGTCTTTCAGAGGCTCTGCCTAGCCACCAAGCCCCTGACCCGAGTAAGGGTCATCCTACTGACGGGCTCTCCCCTCCCGCCTGCAGTCCCCATCTTCTTCATGGCTGCAGCCCAGTGCCTGTTCACAAAAGGTATTCCAGGAATATTGGTCGGGAAGACAAAAAGTGGCTGCCACTTACTTGGCAGTTGGCGCCCCGCTCTCGGGGAGGCTCTGCCTAGCTTTTCAGACAGCCAGAGGCAGATCCTCAGGAACTAAGCCACGGGACTAAATTCCTGTCTCTGTCCCCAGCAAGAACCACAGTCTAATATCAGCATGCCATAGGGCATCCCATCTGGGCCATAAATTTCCAGAGCTATATGTTCCTACAGCCGCGGCTATGACTCCGGGCTAGCCCGTTGTGGGATTCCCTCTTTGCCTTTACTGCCTTTACTGAATTTAGCTGTAACTAGCTGGGGTTTGCAAAGCAGAGTGTCCCACTCGGTCCTCCCTCAGATAGCAGGTGGGATGATCACAGACTGCCCACTGAGGTCCTGGATAACTGGGAGCTTTAGCACTGAGCATTTGGAAGGACGGGTGGGCAAGAAAGGCTGGGGGAGAATCAGCAGCCAGTACCAGGTGACTGTGGGACGCAAGACCTGGTGATTGGGAAAAAGAAACTGTATACACACACACACACACACACACACACACACATATGAGCCAGGCCCTCCCACCTACCTTTTCCTTGTGGGGAGCTCTTTGGGCTCAGGGGTCCTGACACCCAGCCCATAGTGTCTCCTCAAGGCATGTCCATCACAGGGCAGCAAAGGGAGGCACAAGGCTGTGTGAGTGGGCCACACCCCCGTCTCTGTCCTCTTGCCCCTGCCACCCTGCTCCTGACTGCAGAGGCTGCCACACTCAACTACAATACTTCCATCCACAGAGATGTTGGTGGCTCTAACAGGAGGACAGGCAGAAGGACCCACTGGCTAAGGCCATCCATCAGATCTGTATCAAGGTAGACAAGTGCCCCACCTCTGACTCTAGAATTCTAGAGTTTACTGGATGCCAGGAAGTGCGTTCTAAGCAACATACTTCTCTACAGAGTATGTCATAGGCAAGCCCACAACTTTCAGGAGACCAGAACTTAGAGTGAACAGGAACACACTCCAAACATTTATTCAGTTGACATCAAAGATCTCCACACTCCTTAATGCCTCCACATGGCTTGGGCTGAGCCTGGATGGGGCCACTAGGGACTGAGGAAGGGGGGCCCACCGCGGGATTGCTCCAGGATGTGGCAGGATCCGCGCTGGATGCTAGGGAAACATCTCCCAGCCCCAGATGCTCCAGTCCCCTGTGGAAACCCCAGGCCTCACACCTCAGCAGGGACGGGGTGACACCCTCTCCCGCTCTCTCTCTGCACAATCAGCAAGCTGACTGCTTCAACACAGGATCAGGTGACAGCCTGAGACCACACCCAGGTCCCACGCTGTCTCACTGCTCATCAGGGGTCTTCTCTCGCAGAGGCTCTCCAAGATGACAAGGAAGCCCTGCGCTCCCCCTGGCAGGTCAGCCGGCTCTCAGCCTGGGGGATGTCTGACCCCCTCCTTCCAGGTGGGCAGGGCACAGCCAAGGTCGTGTGTGTGGCCTTGGCAGGTGACTGGGGCATCAGACTGGGATGCTTTTGGGGCTCCAGCTTTGCTGCCAGTTCCTACTGTGTGGCTCTCTACAGGGTCAGGGGATGCCAACCAGAACTGGAGGAAAGGGCGTCTGAGCAGGAGTGGGAGGTCAGAGGAGAGGCCCGGTGTGAGACGCAGAAATAGGAGGGGAGTGGGCTGGGGTGATCACGGGGCCACCAGGATGCCCAGGGGCAGCACCAGGCACAGAAGTGGGAGGAAGCCTGCTGAGTCCCAAGAGCAAGCCTGACTCAAGCGATCAATGACCCAGTCCTTGTAGAAACTAACTTCTGTATATATTCCAGGAAAATTTTTGCGACCGCAGCCGATGCCCCAGCTCACAATCCCCACCTGGACCCATGTCTTATTAAGTTCACAGACCAGGGGCCCCCCAGAGTCTCCCTGGAGAAAGAGAAAGAAACAAACACAGGAATGGAAGAGAATCAACATCAGAACTGGCTGGTGGGGAGATGGGCACGCGAGGGCCTTCCCCGGGACTCCCCTCCCCCATGCATCCACCAGCCCTAGGTTCCTGGGAATATCAGATTTGAGGGTTGAAAACTTTAGCAAACAAAATTCATATACGTATGCAAAAAATCGTGTACCCCAAAAATGGAATATAACCAAAGAAAACATCTGTTGAGCTAATCATAATGAACAAAGTCTTTAAATGAGCACACTGCCTGTCACACAGAAGGGGTACAAAACGTGATTTGCATTTTTGGTAAATTTCTGCCTGAATCTCCCCTCCTCTCCCAACCCCCTCTAAGCAGGCCAGCCAGCTGAGCCTTCGGCATTTTTCCCCCTTGAAACCCCTTGACGTGAATTAAGGGTGAATGAAGGGGCCAGCGGATCCCACAGGCCCCGAAGCCTGCAAATGAGGAAATTGTGAGGGGACAACAAAGTGGCAAGACAGCCAAGGGCCCATGAACTGACCTGGCAGGCATCCTTTCCTTGGGTACTGTAACCACAGACCATCCCTTCCTTGACTAGGTCGCTGCTAGTTTCCATCTCTGTTTGGAGCATCATGTTACATTTCTCATAACGGATAATGTTTAGCTCAGCCTCCCGTAGCCGTTTCACAACTCCTCCGGCTTGACCTGTGGAAATAATTTGGGAGCAGATAGGTCTGCCTAATGGAACACAACAGGAGCCCCGGCACCCACTCTTGGTCTCGATGCAGTGTGTCCACCTAGAAACACCCCATTAGGGAAGTGAATATGGTCCCCATTTGACACGGGAAGCAATGAGGCCCGAAGCTGATGTCAGGGAGAGGAGGAGGTAGGACTCAAAACCAAGGCAGGCAAAGGAAGAACAGATCAGGACAGGAAGAGGTGAGGCCTCACCAGCCCTGAGAAATCAAAACCAACTCTCTGTCCCTCTGAGTATCTTTAGGAATCATGACAGTTGTCCTGTCCATTGCAAAGTGGCTTTATTTTTGAGCAGGATCATAAATTCTTGGACAAGAAGTGTCCCAAAGGTACCAAATTCAACCTCTCCCCAGGGATGGAAAGCCCAACAGCCTCACCAAGAGGAGTTCTCTGGGCTCTTTTCACTCACAGGAAGCTCCCTGTCCACCAAGGGGAGGACTTCCGGTTGGGACAGCTCCCGTGAGCAGAGAGAGCAACACCAGCACCCCCTGCGCTAAAATCCACCCTAGAGAGAACCCGCTTTGCTCATCACCCGAGACCCCAGGTCCTGAAATTCTAATCAAAATGTGGACCAACAAATGACTCCCAACAGGCATCTTCTCCCCCACTCCTCCCTCACCCGCTTGCTAAAAATGGCCTCCCTGCCTCCCCCTTGAGCTTGCAGGCCAACCGCTGGGCACGAGGCAGCCCCTTGCCTGGCCCGAGCTTCACATCTTGCTTCAGTCTTACCTGCTTCGTTGAGCTTCCCCCATCCAGTCACCCAGCACTCAGTACCACCTTGTACCATGAACGCCTTTTTGGGGAGGCACACAGGCTGCACGTGGGAGGAAAAATTCACAGGGAACTCAAGCAGAGCAAGGGCAATGTCATTCTCAATTAATCCGATAGGATTGTAATCTTGATGAATAACGATGTCTTGGACGGGGATCTCGATGGCCATTCTGGAGGTATGCTCCTCCATGAAGATGTCTCCCAGCTTTGCCGTGTACTCCACATGGCTGCAGAAAGATCCTAGGGCTCTACCCTCCCCTTCCTCATCTTCTGGGCCTTCCCAGCCTGGGCCTCTCTCCACCAACCACTGCCCTCCCCCCACCACCACGCCCCATCCCGGGACCCCTGGTCAGTCTACCCAGTGGTGCTCCAAGTCTGGTTCCCTGGTGAGAAGCATCCGTGTTAGAGAGGCAGGTGCTCAGATCCCACTCTGGTCTGTACCAGAGACGGGCTGTTGAGGACTGGCAATCTGTGTTTTCACAAACTCTGCCGGTTTATCCATGCTTGGAAGTTTATGCCCACCAATCTAGCCATATTGGTTTACTGCACTCCCCACTTCTTAAATATTCCCTCTTGCCCACACACTGGCTTGAAGCTAATCAGCAAAAGCTTTGAACCCAGTTTGGGGTCTTAATCTTTCAGGCTACCAAGGGCCCTACCGTCACCTCCCATCGACCGCAGCCTGAAGGGCAGGATCTATGACCCTTCTTCTTCAGATGAGGGAAAGGAAGCTCAGGGAAGGGGACAGGACTGGCTCCAGGTCACAGAGCCCCAGACACTCACCCAAATATGCAGTGGGCGGCGGTCAGCACCCACCGACTGGCAATGAGGGAGCCTCCACACATGTGTCTGTCATTGATCTGCAGGCTCACCTGCCAAGGCCACTTCCCCTCTGCCGCGGGGAATCCGCCCACTATCCTCATGGACCTCCGGCCGCATCCTGCGCAGGTCAGTGAAGGGAGGGGACCGAAAGTAAAGCCACTGACCGCACCACCCACAGAGCCGGGATAATGCTCAGAAGTCTAGAACCCTCAAAGCAAGGCCATGTCCCCTCAGAGCCCCCACCCCACCCCCAGAGCAGCTCTGTATCCCCTAAGGCTCCTCGGAGAAAGGCCACGTGTCCCCATCCGAGCTCAAGCGCAGGGTTGGGGCCACTCCGACCCCCACCCCCACTCCACCGGAAAAAGCCATCTCCCCAGAGCAGGGTCCCGTCCCCCTCGGCCCTCTCGGTCCCCTCGGCCCCCTCGGCCCCGGCCAGTTCTCCGCGGCCCAGAAACATCACCTGCAGGAAACAGTGGCTTCGCGGTGGCCACAGCCCTGTACGAGCCAGAGGCACCTGGGGTGACCGCCACCACTTGGGAGGATGCGGCAGCCTCTTGGGGCCCCGGGGTCGCAGACTGTCCCTCAGCCCTCCACACGCTCGCGCCGGGGACCTCGTGGCCGCCCCCCGAGGACGACGGGGAGGTGGGCGCCGAGGAGGGTGGGGGCGACGCGGACCCGCTCTGCGCCCCACCGAGCCAGGGCTGGAGGAGCAGCAGCCAGAGCAGGAGGCCCGGGGAGCCGCCGCCCGGGGACGCCATGGACCCGCCACGCCGCGCCTCTCGCCGCGCCCCCTCGCGGCGGCCCGCGGCCCTGCACTCGCGCAGGCGGGAAACCGGGTCCCGCCGCGCCCCCTGGGGGGCCTGAGGGTCGGGGAGGCTTTCCGTCCCCGCGCCCCACCGCCCCCTTCTTCCCGCCCGCTCGCCGCAGTGATTGGGCGTGCTTCGCGGACTTCGGACCGCTGCCCCGGGCGGCACCAACCGCTGCCTTGGAGACGACACTGCCCCTCCGCGGGGACAGAGCCCAGAGCCAAGGGCAAACGCAAACCACAGTGAGATCTCAGGACGGCGGGAACAGACTGGCGAGGAGAAACAATCGCGACAACACCCCGGAATGACGCGGGTGCAGAGGTCCTGCATCACCCAGACGCTGTGGTAGGAAAGTAAAATACTACAGCTTCTCCAGCAGACAGACTGGCAGTTTCTTATAAAACAAAATATGCCATTACGGTACGACTCAGTCATTGCGTTACTGGACACTGACCCCAGAGAAGTAAAGCTATACACACACACACACACCTGTACGAATGATTTTAGTAGCTTTGTTCTGAATAGCCAACATCTGGAAACACCCTTATAGTAGACAGAACACTGCCATCCCAAAGATGTCCGTATTCTAATCCCTGGAACCTGTGAATATGTTACTTTACATGGCAAAAGGAACGTGAATAAATGAAAAATCTTTTTTTTCTAATATTTTATTTATTTATTTGACAAAAATCACAAGCAGACGGAGAGGCAGGTGGGGGGCGGGGGAGAGCAGGCTCCCTGCTGAGCAGAGAGCCCAATGCGAGGCTTGATTCCAGGACCCTGGGATCATGACCTGAGCCCAAGGCAGAGGCTTTAACCCACTGAGCAACCCAGGCGCCCTCATGTTTTCTTTTAAATCCTTGAGCAAATTTAGAATACTAATACCAGGTGTTTTATTAACTTTTTAAAGATTTTATTTATTTTTAGAGAGAGAGTACGAGAATGGGAATGTGTGAGCCGGAGGCAGGGTAGAGGGAGAGGGAGAGAATCTCAAACAGACTTCATGCTGAGCTCATAGCCCGCCCCAGGGGCTCCATCCCCAGACCCTGAGCTTATGACCTGAGCAGAAACCAAGAGTTGGAGGCTTAACCGAGTGAACCATCCAGGCACCCCAGTAACAGGTGTTTTAAAGTTCTTGTCTACTATTTCTGTATTTGTTTCTATTGATGGGTTACCTCTTTGTTATAGGTCTAGTAATTTTTAATGAATGCTGAACACTATTAATGTTACATGGCTGACTATTTGACTTGTATGTTCTTTAAGGAGTGTGGAAATTTGGCAGGCAGGTAAATTACTTGCAGTTCATCGTGGTCCATTTGAAGTTTTATTGTTGTTGTTTTTTTTAATGTTCAGTTAGCCAACATTACATCATTAGTTTTTGTAGTAGTGTTCAACGATTCATTAGTTGAGCATAACACCCAATGTGCATCACAAGACATGCCCTCCTTAATACCCATCACCTGGACTTGGTTTTTAAGCTTTGTTAGGATGAGTCTAGAATAGCTTTTATTCTAGGACTACCTTACCTTAATACTAAGGTCTGAGCCTTGTGACATCGCTACTGATTGCCTGAGTATTGGGTGAGGTCCTTCCTCTCTGGATGGATGAAACTTGAATCTCCCAGCACTGTGTGAGCTCTCTGAGCCGTTCATCCTGTACTCCCCACCGCCCCACCCCCACCAGTCCCTTGCCAGGTGTTCTTTGCCTTGCCTCTTGGAAATGTAACCTATGTGTGCGTGGATTAGTATTCAGCCAAAGACTGAAGAGGGTGTTCTGCAAAATTCTGGAGTTGTTTCTCTGCGTATCTCCATCCTGTACAGCAGGAATCGGCAAACTTGCCCTATAAAAGACAGTAAATATTTTAAGCGTTGCAGGCCACATGTGGACTCTGTCATATATGCGTTTTAAAAAACAACTCTTGGGGCACCTGGGTGGCTCAGTCAGTAAGCATCTGCTTTCAGCTCAGGTCATACTCCCAGGATCCTGGGATAGAGTCCCGCCATCAGGCTCCCTGCTCAGCAGGGAATCTGCTTCTCCCTCTTCCTCTGCCTCTCCCTCTGCCTCTCCCTCTGCCTGCTGCTCTGCCTGCCTGTGCTCTCTCTCCCTTTCACTCTGTCAAATAAATAACTAAAATAATTTTTTAAATAAAAATAAAAAACAACTCTTTAAAACTGTGTAAATCATTTGGGGCGCCTGGGTGGCTCAGTGGGTTGAAGTCTCTGCCTTGAGCTCAGGTCATGATCTCAGGGTCCTGGGATCGAGCCTCGAATCGGGCTCTCTGCTCAGCAGGGAGCCTGCTTCCCTTCCTCTCTCTCTGCCTGCCTCTCTGCTTACTTGTGATTTCTGTCTGTCAAATAAATAAATAAAATCTTTTTTTTAATTAAAAATTTTTTTTTAAAAACTGTGTAAATCATTCTTAGTCCTATACAAAAACAGCCTGTGTCTGGGATTAGCCCACAAACCATAGCACGCTAAGCCCTGCTCTACAGGATTCTGACCTGGAAACTCCAGATGCCTGGCCCTCCTGAGCCCCAGTCTGTCTCCTTAACTTAGTGTTATCATTGTGTTCTGTTTGGGTTTCCCTGTTTCATGTGAAAATTGCCTCTGCTTAGGAAGCCAGGATGACTGTAGTGTTCAACTCACTTGTTGCCCTTCTCCCTAGGGTCCTCGTCCTACATTGTCATACAATGCCAACTCTTAACAACTCTAGTTTTCCAAAAAAGCAGAACAACCAGTTTGCCATATATACAATCGGTGGATTTTCACTTTTGATTAAGAGTAACTCCACATCATTGTGTATCTTTTGAATTACCTGTGTCACCTGCAAGAGTTATGACCTTGGATGTCAACGATTCATGTGTAAATGTATTTGTCAATAATTCGTGTATAACTGTATTTTTAACTCATAATGCCAGTTTTCAAATTAATTTTACCAAACCACACTCCCACCGTCAGTAGATGAGTCTTTCTATTAATCTCCACTCGTCCCAACAGTTATTGCCACAGTTCTGTTTTTCCCCACATGGTGGGCATAAAATTATATCTTGCTATGGCTTTAATTTGCCTTTCCCTGGAGTATACGTTCATATCTTTCCTGGCCATTTGTGCTGTCTTTTTATAAAATGTTTGTAACATCTGCCCAATTTTATATTTGGATTGCTTTTGAAATACTTCTTATTGAGGTTTTGTTTTGTTTTTTTTTAATGCATGCTAATCCTTTATTGGTAAATGCAATGCTCCAAATATCATCTCACAATCATAAACTTGTCTTTTTGCTTTATTATATCTTTTTCTTTATCACTTATGCTTTTTGTGTCTGCTTTTAAGAAGCTTTCCCTAGGGGCGCCTGGGTGGCTCAGTCAGTTGAGCATCTGCCTTCTACTCAGGTCATGATCCCAGGGTCCCAGGGTCAAGCCCCACATTGGGCTCCCCACTCAGTGGTGAGTCTGCTTCTCCCTCTGACCCTCCCCCCTTCTTGTTCTCTCTCTCTCAAATAAATAAAATCTTTTTTTTTTAAGCCTTCCCTATTCTGAGGTCTTAAAGATATTGTCCTGTATTTTCTTCTAGAAGCTTTAAAGTTTTGTTTTTTATGTTTTGTCTTTTAGCCAAGTATTTTTTTGTTTATAGTGAGAAAGGAATTCGGTTTTATTTATTTCCCATTTAACCTTTTATCTCAGTATCATGTACTGAACGGCCCATTATTTTTTTAATTAAAGTATAGTTAACTACTAGATATTTTGAGTAGCAGTACATGACAGGATGCATTCTCCCATCTCGACTTCTTCTTTAGGGTTTTGGCTCTTTTTGGTACTCCATATAAACTTTAGGATAAGTTTGACAATTTTTTTTTTAAACTGTTGAAAGTTCTATTCAAATATGCATTGAATATAAAGAGCATTTGGGCGAGACCTGACATCTGCGTGGTATTGAGCCTCCTTACTCATGAATTTGGTGCATCTCTATTTAGGTCTTCCTTCACATCCTTCAATAAAATTTCATAAATTTTTACCCACAAAGTCACACACATCTTTCAGAAACACAATTTTACATTATTCTCCTAGTCAACAATCTTATCAAACTGTTTTATCAGTTTTGATAATTCATAGATTCTTTGGGGGTTTCTATATTGAAAAAAGAAAACCTATAAATTAGAAGTTACTATTTGACACAGTCATGCTTTTAAATATTTGTTATTACTTGTTTCTTTACTCACTGTATTCATCAGGATACAGGCTAAGGTGCGGTAACAGAGATGTCCCAATATACAGTGGTTAAAAAACAAAAAGTTTCTTTCTCTCTTACTTCACAGTCTAAACGTAGGCAGCCAAGTCCAGTTCTGCCACCCTTCACCCGGGCACACCTCTCAACATCCAAAATGGCATCTCCATCTTTCTCCTCTTCCAATTTAGAAAGGGGAAAGAGCCAAAAACTATACTCGTGTCCCTTTGAAGGACAACCCCCCAACAGCACATACTTCTACTTACCTCTCATGGAACATAACTTAAATCCATGGTCACCCTAAGCTTCAGGGGAAGCTGAGAATGGCAGTTTTTAGGTGCATAGGCACCCAGATCTCCTGGGATCCACTCTACCTGTCTGGTGTACCTACCTGCCAACTGCTCTGGGCATTGTTACTAGGAATTCACACTTGCATCCTTCTTAGAAGACTTCCCCTAGAGCACATGGAGCCACAGGACAGAAGGTGATGAGGAGTTACATTCCTTCCTCCCACCCCTCCAGTCAGCCTACAGCCAAAGTCAGAGTGGGGCAGGGCACGAAAGCCCAGCTCCCTTGCCTTAAGTCTGGATGAATTCTAGAACATAGACGCCAGGATCTTGCTCAGCCTAGACTTCACCTGTAATCACATTCTTAGTAAATTTTTTGCCCTTTCCTATCCTGCTTCCCTCACATCCCTATAGGTTTTTCCTGAAAATAACTCTCTCTTTTTTTTTAATTTTTAT